AGAAGGGTGCAACAATGAATGAATGGAATCCCAAAATCTCTGTAGATGTTCATTGAAATGAAAAATAAACAACCTAAATTAAAAAAAAAATTATTGCCGTTTGGTGTCATCAAGTTTAACACTACTTGTAACTCTATAAACAACAGCCCTGAACTTTCCCCTACCCTGCATTGTCCGTACAATTTCTAATATCCTCAAGCCCATTATCACAAGAATTGAATCCCTAAATTAATTTTGTTGAGGATCTTCCACCCTGTACCTCCCCACTTTCCCAGTATGATGCCTTTTTCCAAGAAGTAGCCTCAATGACAACTCGGACAAGTATATGACGTGAAGTTTCACCATCCTTGTCTTGAAAGAGAGTCCTAGGTGCATTTCCTTCAAGACAGGCTTGTTTGTTCTTTTAGCAGTCCGTGGGATATGCATTACTCTTCTCCAACACTATAATTCAAAAGCATAGATCCGTCTTTAGTCTTCCTTATTCTTTGTTTTGCTTATGACGTAGTTGAAAATACCTTTGGCTTGTGCCAGGGACACCATATTCTTTAAACCAACATTCGTGCTGTTTAGCACTTTCATGAGGCCCTAAGTAGTAGGTTTGGCCAATGCAACACATGTTTTGATTTCTTGACTGCTGCCAGCATGAGCGTTCCAAGTAAAATAAAAACCTTGACAGCTTCAACCCTTTTCTCCATCTATCGTGATGCTGCCTATTGTTTTGTAAGGACTTTTGTTTTCATGGTGTTGAGGTGTAATCCATATTGAAGGTTGTAGTCTTTGATTTTCTGTAGTAAGTGCTTTAAGGTTTCTTCGTTTCTGCAAGCAAGATGATGTCATCTGCATAACTTAAGTTGTGGATGAATCTTTCTTTGATTCTGATGTTTTAAATTAGTTGTTGTATAGCCTAGCCTCTCAAATTATTTGCTTATCATACAGATGGAATATTTATGAAGTTCACACGCTTAAGAGGCTAAAAATCTGTATGTAGATGCCTTATAGCTTAGGAGACTAGAAGTCCAAATTCAGAGCACCAGTTCTAGGGGAAGGATTTCTCTCTCTGTTGTGTTGGAAAATGGTCCTTATCTTCTTTTAACATCTATAGGTCCAACATTCTTTGGAGATCTCCATGTGTTTTGGCATCAAACACCTTCTGTGACTAGGGAGTTCTCAGCACAGGAATGCTGGATTCAAGGAACATATTCTTTTCCCAGTTCTTCTTCCCTAGAGGTAATGAACTTCCTACTTCTTTCCACCTTTTATCTTTTGTAAGAGGGAAGGTGAGGAAGCTACACTGTAGAAAACTCCCTTTACTTCAGATCAGGGCTTTGGTCTGAGTATGTTTTGCAACTTACCCTAATTCTCCTGCAAATAATTGACTGTTAACATCATATGGCATGATAGAGTGATTGGGTCACTATGTAACTGCAAAATTACATTATTCCATAATTGCCAAACCACTTAGAATTATGGCCCAGCCAAACTGATAAATATTTTTTGGGGGGAGGGGCACAGTCCAATCAATGACACTGACCATGTAGACAGGATAGAATGATCACAGAGTACCCTTATAGGCCAACTTGTTAATACAACTGTTATTCAAATATATGCACCAACAAGTAAAGTCAACAGTATGGAAATTTCAGATTTCTATCAACTTCTGCAATCTGAAATTGACTAAACTTGCAATCAAGATAATAACTGGTGGCTATAATGCAAAAGTTGGAAACAAAGAAGAGGGACAAGTAGTCAGAAATTACTGACTTGGTGGCAAAAATGAGCCAGAAGATTGAATGATCGAATTGTTAAAGATCATTTAAAAATGGCTAGAATAACATCAACAAAGATCTGCCAGAAATTCAGGCTGGATCGAGAAGAAGCTGCGGCATATGGGATATTATTGCTCATTTCAGATGGATCTGGCTGGAAGTGGAGACTACTAGAATGATGGCTATCTGTGTTTTATCGACTATGCAAAGGCATTTGACTGTGTGGATCATTACAAGTTATGGCTAGTATTGAGAAGAATGGGAATACCAGAACACTTAATTGTGCCCATCTGAAACCTATAACTAGACCAAAAAACTGTTGTACAAATAGAGCAAAGAAACACCTCATGTTTCAAAATCAAGAAAGGTAGTATCAGGGATGTTTTCTTTCTCCATACCTATTTGATTTGTATGCAGAACAAATAATTTAAGAAGTTGGACTATATTAAGACTGTGGTATCAGGATCAGAGGAAAAATCACCAGTAACTTTTATTGTGTAGATGACACAATCTTGCTTGCTGAAAGTGAGGAGGACTTGAAACACTTGCTGAAATGGATCATGGACTACAGCCTTCAATATGCATTATATCTTAACATAAAAAACCCACAAAAATCTTCACCACTAGGCAACATCATGGCAGATAAAGAGAAGATCAAAATTGTCAAATATTTAATTTTATTTGGATCCATAATTAACACCTTTGTTACCAGCAGACAGAAAATAAAATAATGTGTTGTGTTGGGTAAGTCTTCTGTCAGAGGTTCATCCAAAGTGCTGAAGAGAAAAGATGTGAGTTTGAAGACTAAGGTGCACCTGATCCAAAGCATGATCTTTTCAATTACTTGCTATGCTTCTTAAATTTAGATGATGAGTGACAGAACGAGAATCAATTCTTTGAGTTGTGGTGTTGGAGAAGAGTGCTGAATATCCCGTGAGCTGCCAAAAGGACTAACAAGTATGTCTTGGAAAAAGTGCAGCCAGGGAGGTAAGGGCAGTGAAATTTCATCTCACATACTTTGGGCATGTTGTGAGGAGGGGCCAGTCCTTGGAGAAGGACTCATCTTGGAAAGATGGAGGGTCAGAGAAGGAGGGGAAGATCCTCAAGGACGTGGATTGGTGGAGTGACTATATCAGTGGGCTTAAACATGTCAGAGATGATGAGGATGGCACCAGGGTTCAGGTCTATCATTCATAGGTTCGCTACAAGTCACAGTAAACTGGACAGTACTTAACAACAACAGTCTTTACAAAAACAGACTGCCACTTCCTCCTTCTATTTGTGATTGATAGGTTCAAACTGCTGACCTTTCGGTTAGAACAGAGACTTGTATGGCCATTTAGATGTTCAAGTAGTTTAGATCACTTCTTCCAAAACTTACTAGCTTGTACTAAACTTTTTCCCCCCCTTAAATCAGTTTTTGGCTACATCCCATAGCTTTAGAAAAATCTGTTAATAGTTTATCCCATTGGACTTCAGATGTTTTATTGCATGGAAGAACATAATGTTTCTTCAAGACAGGATATTTCATAGTGCAGTCCCTTAGATAATTTATCAAAATAGCAAATAAAACCTCAGGAATGGACTCCAGAGAACTGTAGAGTTTCTTCTCTTCCTGCTGTGACAGTTGAATGCTTTTCTCAACCATTTTTTTTTCTTGCTTCTAATTCATGTCCCTATCCATGACATGAGTAATCCTGTGGCAAACAGAAATGGTACAGATAGTTCAGCTTTGGTCTGTGTTGCAGTGTACCAAGCAACATAAAGAATGCGAAACCATCCTGTGTGATCTCAGGAGAACATCAGTGGTTCAGTGACACAATCCTTACCTTCCATGTGAGAGACATGGGGTTGCTGATAGCTCCTGGGATCTTTCAGTGGAAACTTCCATGCGGCTATGATGCTGGACAGATTTCCAGACTAAAATGTAGTAGAGAGAAAAGCCTGGCTATCTGCTTCCTAAAATCAGCCATTGAGAACCTATGGTTGAATCAGAACTAATCATGGGAATGGTAGAGACTGGAAAGTGTTTTGAATATTGATTTATCTTTCCCCCCCTTTACATTGGTTTGCTTACAAAGTTTGTATATGATGTGTTTAACGCTACGCTTCATTCACATTGTGTTTCGTACAATCATTCCCATGGATTATGTTTTATAAAATTAATTACTATTGGACCTCACCCATCATTACCCTGTCTTTTCAGGTCCCCACTGGACCCTTCCCACTTGCTTTTACCCCTTCCCTCCACCAACCACACTGGGTAACCCTATGGTTTGGCCCCTGCCCATCCTCACCTCTCCCCCCTTGGAAAGTGTTTTGTTTTATTGTGTATGAGGTTGCCATGAGTTCTCAACCAACTTGACAGCAGAAAACATTAACATAAAAATAACATAATTTAAGAAACCATGAAAATTCCAAGTGGGTTTGTATATTTGTGTTCTGGTGTTGTGGTTTTTGTTTTTTTGGGTTTTTTTTTTCTCCTTATGACAACAAGAGAAAAAATATTTCATATCTGCTGACAGGTTTAAGCTTTCCTAACTATGTCTATGGAGAACTAAAGACATCAAGAAGTAGAACAAAGCTAACATTATTTGATAGCCTTGATGAGAAAATGTTTTTGGTTTTAAGTATCATATTAAAATAAATTAGCATGTGACCATGTCAATTTGTTTACATTCAGGAAAATGTGAATTTTCTCTGGTAGGTGATGATCTTTATTTTCTTATGGAGTAGTGAACCAATATTTAGGCCAAAATGAGATTTTACTAATGAGCAAAGACCAGATGAGCTTTGAAAGGATATTAAGAATATTATTCATGAAGAAAGCAAGAGGTCATTGCAAAGACAGAGGAAAAAAAGAGATAGATGTTACTATTGCACTAGAGTGCTGAGAAGCCAAAGTAAAGGGAAGAAATAAGGGATTTAAGGACCTAAACAGAAGATTTCAAAGGGCAAAGCAAAGAGACAAAGCAAAGCACTATAATGAAACGTGCAAAGAGCTGGAGTGGGAAAACCATAAGAGCCAAACTCATTAAGCATTTCTTAAGCTGAAATAACTAAAGAACAAATTCAAGCCTTGAGCTGCAATACTTAAGAATGCAATGGACAGAATATGGGACGATCCAGGAAGCAGTAAAAGAAGATGGAAGGAGTACATGGAATCACTATACAAAAAAGAATTGGCTGACACAGAGGAATTTCATGAAATAGCGTATAAACAAGAGGCAATGGTGATGAAGGAAGAAGTTCAAGCTGCTCTGAAAGAGTTGGCAAAGAATAAGGCCCCAGGAATTGATGAAATACAAATTGACATATTTCAACAGACAGATACTGCCCTGCATGTGCTCACCAGGTTCTGAAAAGAAACCTGGAGGACAACCAACTACTTGGCCAATTGACAGAAGAGATCCATATTTATTCCAATTCCAAAAAAAGGATGACCCAACAAAATGTGGAAATTATTGAACAATTATCACTGATATCACACACAAGCAAAACCTCTTTGAAGATTATTAAAAAACAACTGAAACAGTGCATTGACAGAGAAGTACCAGAAATACAAACCAGGCTTAGAAGAGGCACTAGAAACATAATGCCAGGTGGATCTTGATTGAAAGCAAAAAGCACCAGTGAAATATTTGTGTTTCATCGACTATGCAAAAGCATTTGACTGTGTGGATCGCAACAATTTGTGGCTAAACCTGAGAAGAATGAAAATCCTAAAACACTTGATTATGCTCCTGTGAAACCTATTTTTGGACCAGGAAGCAGTCCTCAGAATAGAGCAGGGAAACACTGCATAGTTCAAGA